TTATATTATATTATATTATATTATTATATATACGATTCTATTATTCTATTTATGTAAAATATTTCATTTTTTTATACTTTAAACTTACAAAAATTTTGATTAACTTGTTCGAATTGTTCGTTGAATACTTCACAAGTTTTAATCGAATATTCGCTGCACATGTGTGACAAGTCAAATGACGTTACAAGGAAACAATCTCGTAACGTCTATAGTCTCTCAATATGATAATGATATTTCCAACTTTCCTCTTCATATAAGGTATCTATATTATTATCATAATAAAAGACTTGCAGTCCTCTCGTAAAATAATATTCCCGAGAATTGAGAAGTGACATTCTTCCGAAATAATATCTATGCGAAATTGCATAATATACCATTATTTTTGCAGAGACAGTCGCGGACAATTCTATATAAAAGAAGTCAGGTATATACAAGCAGAGATATATAGAAAAATAAATTCTTTAAATTGTCATCAGTAGAGTAGCTATAAACTATCTCCGAGATACTTGATACAATTCCTTTTGTGTTCTTTATTGTAAAATATCTTATTTATAACTCATTATTACTTATTTATAACATCACAATATTATTCTGTGATACAATGAAGATACTCGAAAAAACAAATATTTTCAAATATTAATTGAGCAGTGACTACAACTTACCTGTATACAACATTAATGCCATCCGTTACTTAGTTACAAGCTATTATTATTACATTTCATCATAGTATCTATATTCTAATTATTTATATGATATTATGATCGTGCACTCTTTTAGATGAATTTTTATATTTTTGATTGAACATAAAAAAAAAGTGTGTAAAGTCATAATTTGTTATAAATTATTAAAATTTATGCAAATTTTAATAATATATAATATAATACTTTTTATATTACAAATATTCAAATATTCACTGCATATAATTTTGAACAATATTCAATGCTTCTTTAGTTTTAGATTTACTAATATTTTTTTATGTAAAAAATAGGTGACTACAATTCTATGAAAATAATTCATTTATAATGTTGAAGATCAAATTGAATTTACAGATGTATGAATGTAAAACATTACAATAGTAAGAATGTTAAATATATATATCACTACAATTATTTTGTTTTTATAAGTAACATACATTTATAAACATTTTTAATTAATTTGCGAGATATATTTGCTTAAATACTTTAAAAGGAATTATATTATCGTATGTTTGACAAATTAGTTATACTATAAAACTTTATGAATTTAGAAATTTTTCATAATATTTTTTTCATAATATTTATTTTTTTAAATATTATAACTATATTGGATAACAATATGTACATATGTCAAATTTTTGTGAAATATAATTGTAAAATATTATTACAGAATTACTTAATGTCTATTTTAAAAATAACACTGCGAGATAAAAAGGAAAAACATGTTAAAAGAACACATCTTATCCATCTTTATTATGACATTTTTCACATATATTTTAACGTATTTTTTTATCCATGTATGTCAATTACGAGATACTATATTTTTTTATTTCCTGTCATTATATGAAAAAAATGTCGTTATATACAAAAACAATATTTTCAAATCTGAGAACTAAATTCATTTTATCTTTATAAAATATATTTATTGTAAAATACTCATTGTAGGATATTCTATTTCATGTTTTCATAATGTCTATAACAATTCCGTATTAGAATATTACCATTATATGAATAACTTCTTATATAGATCATAAAAAATAGAGAAAGTTATAATAAGAATCATTTCAAGTGTACTAGTTCAGAAATCGAAGAAACAACATAAAATTAAATTTTGTTGCATAATATGCATCTGCGTGTGTAAACTCATATTGTCCAACAAATATATACATATTGTATACAAATGAAAATAGAGTTTTGAAATAACAGAAGCAGTGTTCCAAAATTTATTGCCACTATTGAAAATCTGTAGTTTACATTGCAAGCAAATTTTGGAACACAGCCAGAGTGAGCTGAGGTTTAAGCAAGTTAAGCAGTTTTGTGATTTCTAGAAATTAGAACATAATATAATATAAGCATCATTGTGTTATTTTTTTTATATCTCATCATTCTTTTACTTGAACTTCCTTTGCAGCTAATCATAACGTTGAGTTTGAATCTAATACATTCAAAATCTTTATTTTCCAGCAAAATAAAAATACAACAAGAAAATATAAAAATCGTGAAAGGATTTTTTTCTCTTATTTTATATTTAACTATTTTTCTTTATTTAT